AAGCAAATTTACAACTTGAATATCACGCTCGCTGTTTGATTCTTATGTACTAATTTACATAACAATCCACAGTGACGGGTGGTGTCTACGTTTTGTGGTTTGCTTCATTAGTCGCTTTTCTAATTTGCTTATTTACATACATGTGTATAAAGCCATATAAGCTTTGGCAAAATTTGTCATCATTCGCACTGATGATGAGAATCGTTTTCTCGAAACATGTTTGCTATACGATCGAGCTTAATGAGTCCGCGATCACGATTAAAGTCTAATACTTCCTTTATAAAGTGCCTTGTGGTGTTTTTAATTATATATTTTTTAATTATATAGTTTATATATATATATATATATATTTATATATACATAATTATTATTATTATTATTATTATTATTATTATTATTATTATTATTATTATTATTATTATTATTATTATTATTATTATATGTATCATTATTTTGGTACAGGTGTTCTGATGAAATGGCCAGAGCCACGGCCCTCGGTCTGATTGACTGCTCTCCTCTCACTGGACCTTGTGGATTTTTTTTTATTTCTGTCCTCTATCGAACGGTTCAGAGTGTTTTGAAGAAGGGCATTGCTCCTCCTTGTTCGCGTCTTAACGTATTCCATTGGTTAACCACAATCTACATTATGAATTCATGTCTGATCTGCTTCACTGCCAGAGGGCAAGAGGATTGTTTTCCAACTTTTTTCTAACAAGTCTTGGAAAAGCTTAGAATTCGAGGCTATTTCCTTCATTTAGGTATGCATTTACATAAGCTTACTACGGGACGATACATACACATTCTTTATAAACATATTTTAAGATTTGTTCAACTATTGTACACGATTTTGAATAACCTCGCTGCAAAAAACCGAAACGTTCGCGGTAGGTCGAGCCTGGCTCTGTGAAAATTTTACTACTTTAAAAAAAAATTGATTGCTTACTTACAATGCAATTGGTGGATGACCGATCGATGGGAACCTTATGCCGCCCCCACGAACTAAGCTACCCTACCTAAACACTGTGATTGGTTGATTGCTTACTTTCAATGCAATTAATGGATATAATTCGCTCTTCCCAGGGGCGGATCCAGAATTTTCCAAACATGGGGAAAACAGTTTCAGAATAGGTATGCAAGTAGCACATAACGTTGATTTGCATTGAAATTTTTAAAATTTAGTGGCAAAACGGGAGGGGGGGGGGGCACACACCAGATTTTTTTGCTTTGGTGGATAGATATAATGCGTAACTCTCATACTAATTTCATATTTATAAACATTTTTGGGGTATATGATCAATTCACATGATAGAGTACATCCATAGAATGCCCCTAAGCCAAAAATCTAAAAAAATTATATAATGCGTTTTTCCGAATCACGGCAGTAGGCCTATTGGTTGGTTGAATTATGATAAAGTTTATGATTTTTACCTTTTCATATTTTTATGAATATACAAGTGGTATATGAGAGCTGATATATTTTTCTTAGGTCAAAATTATGCCTAACAATGTGCTAAATCCTAAAGGGGTCTAAATTATACCAGCATTTTATGCTAGGTCTAGTCTCTATTGCCGCCCCCTACCAACTGGTTTAGTTTTGAAAAGCTGGTAGAGGGCGCTACAATTTTAGCGTCTGGTACACAATGTATTTTTCACACAGCCTCAACCGATATAGACATTCTATTGTCGCCTGCGATCCTCCGCCTCTTCTTGTGTTCTTCCTATTCCTTTCCCTCTTCCTCTTCTTTAATTTTAGGTATCTTAGATGACTGCAGTGTTATATTTTAACATTATAATCACTAACCAGTCACTTTACATTTCAATTTTAGAACCATCAAAGCGTATTATGATTTTCTGGAAGCAAAAAGTGATTTGTATAATTATTTTCTATGAAAAAAACAGTTGAAAATGTGTGAGAAGGTTTGGATAGGGCCATAGTCAGTGTGACCACTCAAAATTTTTGATATACCCAATGACTGGGTAGAAATTACCCAAGATTCAGCAAAAATTGCCCAAAATTAACCAAGCTTCCTGAAAATGCATTAATATTTGAAAAGTACGTGTTTTTCGCATGTATGGTTTCCTTTTAGTTCCATTTATAAACCATTTTTTATTGTAATTGTTTGTGTTACTGTAATTATTAAAAAATGAGGTGATAATACGGATAAAAAAATACGCCCTCAGTCGGCCAGTGTTATCAGCAGATCAGTGATCAAGTTTTATTATGTAATGCATTAATTAGGTAAGATCGATAGCAACGCAGATCACAATTCTGAACCCATGTTTATAGCAATTAACAGTCAATTAACAATGTTATGTGCACTTCGTTGAGTTTTGCTTACTTGAATGGACTGAAATATACTTTGTTACTTCTTACCTAATTAATGCATTACATAATAAAACTTGATCACTGATCTGCTGATAACACTGGCCGACTGAGGGCGTATTTTTTTATCCGTATTATCACCTCATTTTTTAATAATTACAGTAACACAAACAATTACAATAAAAAATGGTTTATAAAAAATACCCAAGATCTTGGGTAAATACCCAAGCAGTGGTCACGCTGGCCATAGTGTTAAGTTTTAGATTTACAAGCCATTTGTGTTCTAGATCGTGATCAAAGTTCACTACTATCCAACACTTTCCTCTGCTTCATATAAGCTTATGGATTTTTTATTTTGTATTTTATATTTTCAAATATTTAATAAAGCTACCGAGATATATAATTATGCACATACTTTCTAATCACAAATGATTTTTGAAACAGCAATGGCTGTTCCAATTGTGAAGGCAAAAAAAAAAAACCAATGAAATTAGGATAATATATTGATAGCGCTTCTTTTGAATTACAGAATTCAGAGAACCCAGCAGAGCCATAATAGAAAGAGTTGCGACATTGAGGATTTAGAAGCCATTCTGTGTCCAATGCGATGAGTGTTCCTGTGTATAAATGTTGTATATTTATAAATTTAAAAAAATGATTTCACTACTTTATAACCAATTTCATATTATATATACTGTATTAATTTTACTATTTTAAAGCAGTTCTTTATTCCTTGTCGATAGGCTGAGAGCTTCTCGATGGCAAGCATTCTTCACTCAGGCAATCCTGCCAGATAGGCACTTAGTGACTCCTGTTATTTTGGCGAAATAAATGATAGATAACGATCAGCAAAAAATAATTAAATATGCCTATCAGATAAGTCTATTTATATACTAAATATAACGAAAATTTTTAAAGTTATTTTTGTCTCCATCCACGATCTTTGTCTAAATTTATATACAATTTTGTTTAAGTAGACTCTGTTATATTTGCGATTAATATTCATCTGTTGTTCCTGTTATTTAATTTGAGGGAAAAATTGAGAAAACAAAATATCCTAGTACTTTTCCTTGAATTTTACAGGCTTACTGCAAAGAGAAACAATAAGTGATTTTCGAGATCAAAATCAAATAAATAATGGCTATATTTTTATCGATGTTGTTGTTTTACCAACTCAGACGACTACTAGGGACAAATGTGCGAGCCACACTGTCAGGAAATTATTGTTTAAAAAGTAAAGGGCAATCCTTTGACTTCTTAATTAATTGGTCTTGGTACCGTATCGTTTTTTTTTCCCTGCCTGCTCAAAATCAGTGTTGGCAGCCTAATAGTGAACAGCAAGTCATTACTTTTAGCTTTGGATTTACCGATTTTAATGATCCTGTAAAATAATAGGGTATCTAGATTGAAGTTCTTCAAAATTCAATATGAGCCCTATACAAATCTTAATTTTGAACTTATTATTAATATTTATAAATATTAAAATATTATAGGTCAAGTGGGCCACACTATATAAACTGATATTGTGTAAAGAGCAAAACCCAACTTTTTTTGACAAGGCAGGTCTTTTATGTCATTAGATTAAAACAGACGAACATTTGAAGTTCCAATTATAATTTTTATGTAATTCACATTTAATTATCAAGCGCACGTAAACACGTGCAAATATTCGAATTCTAAAGATAAATTCTAAATCAAGCTTTTGATATTAGTTATTAAGTAATAACATCATAAATACAATTAAGCACGTTAAAATACTGTGTAATGTACCTTACTCGTATACTTTGCATGTCTTCATCTGGAAGATTTGGATACACAATGGACGGTGTGTACCACATACATCACTTTCGCAAACAGAGGAGGGGAATCTACCGCCTGTTTCAAAACTAAAACAGCTGGTAGAGGGCAGCACATGGTATCTTATGCAACGTTACCACTGCAATGTACTCTTGAACTTCTGTGATTCCCGGTATATTAAAACAGAATTCAGTAACAATGTTTTGAAAAAAGGGCCGTTGTGATCACTTAGGGGAAAATCCACAGGTGAGGGTAGAGGAGTTTTATAGTCCAATAATTTCACTTTTGACAACGGTAGTAAAAAATATATTAAAACTATGCATTTCTAACACAGAGTCTTGCAACCAATCTTTTCATCTGTATGATTTTTATTTCACAAATATTTTTCACTTTTACATAAAATGGGAATTCAACCCACTTTTCATGACGGTATTTTTACCATAGCCTAGGCAGTCAATTCAAGGGCATTTCGTTAATTACATATGCTTATTGACAAACACAACTTTACCTGAACTGAATGTCAAACAATATGTTATTTCTTTATTTTATTTCTTTGTTATAATTGCTACTACTATTTTCAGCCACATTTGGAAAAATGTTAACTCAGAACCACCCTAATGCCGTCAACCCATGTTTAACAACTATCATAAAGGAGCTTTTAGTGAACAAAATAGAGGGGTGGGGTTTTCACTTAGCAGTAGAGTAGGCTTCTTATCAACCCCCCCCCCCCCCACCCACAACAAAAACACCACTAACCTCAGCCAAACAGTGCCTGTGGAATTCGTTGTAATTCGTTGCGATCAGATTCCGTGGTAATCGGGAGTAATAAAGACTGTAGCACCCAATTGCAACGGGTAACAATTGCGATATCGATTACATATCGACAACTATTGGTGAGCTTTCACACACGATTTTACCTTGCGATTGGGTGCGATTGGGTGTCGCAATTGCTACAACCGATCGCAATGCGATGCTAGTCTGAATGGGGTATTATTTTACTCTTTAACCCTGCATTAATAACTCAAAATCAATTTTTGCGACGTGTGACTGGTTTGGCTTGTCTTTGCCACATATGTGTTATCTGTTTTATATGTATAAAACAGATAACAAAAATGGCATATGTACATTGTTGTACATCATAAGCAAGAAGCAGGAGCGGTTCCAGGATTTGAAGGAAGAGGGTTAAAATTTTTCCCAAAAGTAGACATAGACATACTCTTTATTCAATCCATTGCTGGAAAATTTTCAATTATACATTATACATTACATTTCATTATACATTATACAGTTTTGGGTTAAAGCACCCAAAAGAAAAGGGGATCGGGAGCCCTCTACTTTAAAATTTTGTTTTCTAGATTGCCGGAAAATTCAAGGTTCCCACTCTTTAAAAAGTTCATGTGATTTTTATCTCTTACACAGTAAGTAGGCCTATGTGTGTATACATAGAGAAAAAAAAAATAGACAATACATTATTTCATTTCAAAGATCTCAAAAAAGAGACCTTGCTGAATCAATAGCTTGGAATTTTGTCTGGTTATAATAAACAATGGTTAAACCACAAACAACGTTTTTAATTTATTTAATTGCAGGCTAATTAGGCTAAGGTTAACCTGTCCGATCCACCTACCTAGTCCTAGGTAGTTTTACCATGCCTTTTTGTAAGCCAAAATCCATGCAGTACCGTACAATGGCGGATCATGCAGGAATTTGAAACAGAAAAGGCCCACAAATGGAGGTCAACCACCATAGTTGGGGGCTGGGGTAAGAAAATTTCTGATTGTGGCACCTTTGATGACAGGAAATGGCACTCTCAGACTCTGGATATGAAAGTAGGTGGCCTCCCTTGCTTCTTTTTTTTTACGTTTTATCACAGAGGGGGAGTTGTTCTAACCCATTGAACCCCCTTGGATCTGCCACTGAGAAGATTGGTAGAACTTACTTTGTGGATCCAAGATGGAGTTCTTTTTGCAGCAGGGAAAGATTTACACGGAAATTGTCAATATAAAGCGCAATCAAGATCATGTGTAGGGCAAGCTTATCACGCATCTTAGAAGATAAATTCCTGAGAGGAAAAAACAAAGAACATACATGTGACACGTTTTCACGAAACCTAGACAAGTTTAAAATTAACATTTGAGAAAATCAATCAATAATTTAATTGTCAGGTCAGAAATTATCAAAGTTATTTACTTCTTATCTCTCCCATTGTCTTTGCCATCTCGGGTAGTTAGTCGGTCTGAATTCTGATTGTTTTGCGTCTGGCTTTCTGTTGATTTGTGTCATGTTTTGTCCTGTTTTGCCACTGTTTTTTCTTCTTTTTTTAATTATTATTGTTCAACACTAGATTTGTTTTCTTATCTTCTTGGGTCTTTGCCTTCTTCATTTTTTGCATGTCTTACTTTTATATTATTAATTTTATCATTGTTATATTTTTTTTGTGAAAAGGAAGTTAATATTAAAATGTTAAATTGAACACAATTATACCTCAGTGTTTTTTTACCGTCTGGGGACATTGCTTCAACGGTAAACTCGTTCAAAAGATGCTTTTTAACAGCATCAGGTGTTCCTTTCATGAAAGGGATTCCTGAAAAGTAAAAAATTTAATATTTAAAATTTAATTTAAACTTAATTTTAAAAAGTACAAGAGGCAAACTATAGAGAACTTTTATAGAGATCTTGTTCGCTTTCCTGTAACAACTACTAGCTCTATGAATATTAAGGTGTTAAGCCTGTCCAAAGGTTGACCACTTATCATTAATCTTTAATCTTAAACATGCTACAATTACCACACCACTTCTGCTATATCAGTGGAAAACGTACAACACAATATGAGGCTTGCCATTTCAAAACGAGCGTACTGTCGCTAAACTGAATAATTAGCATAAGAATTCTATACTTCGGTACACAGAACCCGTAATAATTTTACTCATAACTTTGGCAATAAGTTGGTTCATTTTAACGTTAATAATTTTGAGAACATGAATATATTATATAGTCATATTTTTGGTTTCGGTCACTAATTCCGGTCTTGGTATCGTAATCCCCATTAGCCTATCTTTGTACAGAAAAGAATGAGGCCACCGACGCCATGTTGGAGGGCCTAAGTGATGTACCAGTTTCTTTTGGCATTTGTTTAAATTATTGTTAAAATAATGATTCTTGCTACAAAGGTCACAAATGTTATACATATATTTTATAATATAGGAATTACATTTATGGTTAAAGTTTTGACCTTAAGCGCAGGAGCGTATAACAGACCACAAATACATGAGACTTGGTATGCCTAATATTGTTGTGTGTGGATAAATGACTGTGTGTGTTCAGTGAGAAGTTTACCTTTTCTACAAGCAAATGGTTTGAGGCAATGCATATGGATAAGATACATCATGTACAAAAGTTGAGATGCTCTTTCTTTTCTCTTTTCTGTCGTACCTGTCAACACTTGTAATTGCGACAAAACATATGGTGAGTAGCTGGAATAAAATTTAGTAACAATCGATTACAAAAGGTAATAAACATGATTTTATTCTAAAATTGGTAAAGTTGAGCCAGTCTCAACATTATCGACCTGTCAGCAACGAATCGTGACCATCTGCCGAATTCACTAAACATCATCAGCTTGTCTTTAACAATCAGCACTTGATTTTTTCGTGCAATGATTTTTTTTTTGCGAGTCGAGTGGCCGAGCAGTAAGGCAGGGGCGCCGCTAGCTACAGCCTTAACGACCATCTGCTCAGGCTGCCACAGACACAGTACGTTCCCTGCTTTAGAAAATGACCCCCGAATGTTTCCCTTTCGTTTTTTCTTACGATAATTTATGGCGAATTAAATTTAAAGTGGAACATTACACTTACGTTTCATTTGTTTTCCATTCAGCTATTTGATTTTGTGTTGCTGTTGTTAGGAATTCACAAGCACCTTTTAAAGATAACATGATTGATGGACTGATGACTAACAACAATTTATAAGAAAACAAATTAACAAACAAAGCATCCTGGCTTTTGTAGGATTTGAGGATTTTGATCCATTAGTCTACATTACAAATAAATTTTAAATATAATTTACAGTTAAATAAGTTTTAAATATTAAAAAAGTTTTGAAGAAACAACCAACCAGTGGTTTTACCTCAAAAACCATATTTTTTACACATGGTGTGCCATGCAAACTTTCAAGAAATATTAAGTTTTAAATAGTTTGGTTGTTAACAAATTACCAATATGTAATTAAGTACAAAGAAGGATACTATCTTCCATGTGATAAGCTTCTTCTGGCCTGGTGGCGTTCCTGTTGCAAGCTGGTATTATATCTGAAGTTTCTTGGGCGGGTAATTCTGAAAAGAAACAAAATAAATATTTTAATTTCTATACCACAGGTTCAAAACTAAAGGTCTGTCACTTCCACTCATTACCAAACAGAAAACAATACTTATTTACTAATTTTGATCATTTACGATATCATTATTTTTTAAGATACCGTAAAACAGAAATATCAACCAACTAAACCTGATGGCCAATAAGGATTCTAGGATAAGTGAGTGAGAACATAAATCGAATCTGGTCATGACATCCCATCATGACCATGTATAGGCACGTCATGACTATATATAGGCACATCATGACTATATATGGGCACATCATGACTATATATGGGCACATCATGACTATATGTGGCACATCATGACTATATATGGGCACATCATGACTATATATGGGCATACAACAGTTTTTTGTCAAAGAAAATTTGATAGTGTGTACAAAGCTTTAGATTTGTTTATCTGGTTGTGACACAAATCTAACATTATTTGAGAAAGTTTCCATCCAAGTGTTTATTCCTATGTTTACTCACTAGTGGGCGTGTTAGGCTGACTCCCTGCTTCTTCCATAGCTTTCCTTAGTGAATGTTCTAGGGCATCAGTTGCAACTTTGTTACGAATCCTCGACTCCATGGCTCGTTGTTTCCTTGCGCTACCAAACGCCTCTGTTAACATATCAGACTACAAAAGTATACAGAATCCGTTCTATTACATCAGCGGTCATTTTGGTTTTATTCATGTACATTTCAATGATATAAAAAGACATGTTATTCATGGTACGATATCCTAACGTTGGAGTAATGTGAAAATCGGTTAGAGTTCAGATAGGGCGTTAGCATTAGCATGCTTATAGTTATACCGTATTTATTCGAATTTTGAATACTCTTATTTTAATTAGGGTTAGCATAGTTTCAAATCAGGATAGCTTGAATTTAGAATGGAATATGGTTCGGTAGATTAGTGTGAATTACATTCAAAACAGAATGGATTAAAAACAGGATAGTATTAACCAAAGTATACATGGCCGGCGGAACCGGGGGGGGGGGCGCCGGGCCCCCACTTTTTGGCAGAAAATATATAATGTCTATGGAGATTTTTGTATGATTGGAAAGAAATGCAAGAAAAGAAAGAGCAACTTAACCTACTAATATTGGTTAAAATAGACAAACTGTAGTAAGTAAATATCAATATCAATAGTGTTAATGGTAAACATTTAAATCTCAAACTTGCCAGGACATTCAAACTAATGTTGTAATTGTATATTAACCTTTTCTGCAAAAGATAAATCCTTCTTATCTGTCACATCCTCATCACCTTCATTTAAGGACTCCTTTAGAAATATCCAAGGTTGCAGATGGAAAAGCTGACCATCATAAACTTTGATTTTGTTAGTCGTTTTATCAACTACACCAACCATATATCTGCCAAAATTAAATTAATTTGATCAATCATTTTATTATTTTTTTTTATAGGATTTATGAATAACTTTTTGAGAAAAATAAGAAAAATAAATGTTATCATTGAATTGAAAAAAGAAAATCCCAAGGGCACACACGTTAAACATCCAGCATCGATCTGAACTCATGACCCCTTGATTGAAAGCCCGAAGGTTTTATTACGGAGATTTTGATTGCATAATGATGGTAGGATTTAGAACATAACGATGTCACTAAGACGTGAATGCAAGAACATTAAGTTCTCATCGCGTGGTTTCTATGACACAATTTTGCCATCGATGTGCAAAGGACAGCGTGACAGAATACATGAGTGAATTTGTTTTAGTGTCACATCATCACGAAAATAGAGAACTCCATATTGCTGCCATCACATACCTTCTTCGCATGTTGTCCATGCAATTTTGTCTAATTGTTGCCCATTTGCTAAAACATGTTTTATGCAAAGAGATATTTTTCTACTCATATCCAGTCACAAACCATTATTTAATATATTTATTTTAATTTACCATCATAGCACCAAGTGTAAGGAATAGGTTCCCACCAGGGGTGCCAGCCTGCCTTAGGGGAAATTCTTGCTAATTTTGTGTTGTGGGCTGATTCTATGTTGTTTTCTAATAATTTCATTGAATAGTTTAGTATCTAGTTCACTGCAAAATATGTCATCATTCCTGTTTTTTTGTACAGATTAGGCCTATATATATTTTATGAGGCTATGAATTTCAAAACATTCTTGATGGCTAACAATGAAGAAAAAGTTAATTTGCATGAGCTGCTGACATGGTGTCTCTGCAATCCTTAGAAGTCAACAGACACAAAATTAGGCCTACAGAAAAACAGTATGCAGACCTTTTAAGTTTCACGTATCTCGCGGGAGTCTCACGCATTTCACTTCGACTTTACGCCCTCAAGCGAAGCCTATATATTCTCACGCATTCCAGAATTTCATCAAATTATATTTTCCTTAATGTACAACCACGACTATCGGCGCTAACGATCCTGTTGCGATCGTTAGTGTTCAACGCCGCTTCTGCAGAAACTGAAAACTAAATGAGATATTAAAGTGGCACTTGTTTCAATATATTCACTGTAATATTCCTTAAAGGTGTGTGACCTCATGACATCTTGGGATGAGTATACATGACTAAACCCTACTCACTTGCACATTGAATCAGATCGTGAGGCTGTTGGACCGAAGTTCTGACCTATATATTCCATCTCCCCCTCTGCTGTTGCTACCTGAAGATTGGAATAATTTTGATTGGTTAATTTGTACTACACATTATTTTGCTTACATTCTTTTCAAGACTCTGTAAAAACTCTACTTTATAGTTATAAGTTTTTTAGCTTACCAAACACTGTTTATTTCTCTTGCGTGGATCTTTAGTTTCTGAACTTCTATATCGAGTAAATGTTGGTGGTTTACTTGGAGAACCATCTTCTGTGACTTTTAATTTAGCATGTGAAAATTGTGCTGTGAATTAAAAGAATATAACTTGTAAATATTTCATGACCTGGACATTTTGTAACCTAGACATTCCAGGCCTAAATGAGGCACCGGCAGTTAAATTGCTGGCGAGTCAGAGTATCAAAAGTGTCCTAGTTACGTATAATGTCTACATCTACATGTAGATATTAGTTTAAAGCCAAACTCTGGGTTAGATTAGATTGGATTTATTTGGCGTAAACACCAAGGATAACTTCTATATCGAGTAAATGTTGGCGGTTTACCTGGAGCAGAGTGGAATGTATCGAAAAAGTGCAATAGCATTTTTTACTACAATGAAATGAATGGTTTCGACTTGGCTGCATTGCTTACAAGAGGAATAGGCACTCTGGACCTGTGCATGTTCGACTACCCATCATAGTGTAAACATTTTGTGTTTTTTAAAGAATAAGTGTTTGGCGACAAAATAATCGGCTGCTTTCCCAAGGGAGTCCTGTGTCCTTCCTCATTATGCCCCTGGATGCACATTTATACGATACGATGAACTTTATTGCAATTTTTATCATTATGAAAATACAAATAAAATTGTAGTTTAACGAGTGGAAGCATGTAGTGAAAAAGGACAAAGACATTCGCAACATTACAATAAAAAACAAATATACATTAGCAAAGGTAGGATTGCAACTCTAAAGTACACTTTTGCTGAAATTAAATTTTAATTTTATATTGTCACAGTTGGCAACATCCAAAGAGATAAGATTAAATGACTTTAAAAATTATATAAAATAAATATAATTTCTTAGATTTTTATTTTTTATTTTTTGTCGATTCCTAATATATAACTATGCCATATGTTAATTTTATCCATGTAGCTTTTGTATTTTTAGCACAACAAAAATAAAGATAACCAGTAATACTGATTTCCCATGCATTGCCATACTGGAATGAATCTTTTGCCTACCAATAGAGTGCGCCGCCAGTGTTTCAGCCAGGCCAATGTAAACATTGAAAATGGTCTACAGATATTATAGTAGGCCTATCAAATATCAATATTATGGCAGTGGTAAGGAATACATACAGTACTACTACTGTAAGGTATCTCAGTAATGGTGAGTATATTCTTACCAACCTCAACCTTCTGTATCATTACTACTAACGGATTTCAGTGAACCTTCCCCCTAGCAAACTTTCCCCTTGCAATCTTGCCCCCTACAAATTCACCCCTTAACAAACTCACCCCCTAACAAACTTTCCCCCTACAAACTCGCCCCTTACAAACTCGCCCTCTGACAAACTCGCCCCCAGACTATACAAAATTTCCCTTACAAACTTACCCCTTTCAAACTTGGCCCGAACAAACTTCCCCCTAACAAATGACTTACAGTACTAAAGGTAGTTCTGTAGAATTAAGTGCCATGTGGAAACACTAATGATGATAAACTTTTTTTTATATTGTTTCTGTTGTTAACCGTATATAATGACGAAAATAAATAAAATGTAATAAAAATTTATTCCATCTTATATTATGAGAATAAATTTATATTCACTATTATATAATTTACTGAGAGAAACAATATAAAAAAATCTGTTTACCCACATCGCACTTCTACAGAACTAGAGTAATGTATTTGTATTTGATGTTTGTTATATTGTTTCTGTTGTTAAATTATAATATAATGACTATTTTATGAAAACAAACTAAACGTCATAAAAATTTATTCCATCTTTATTATATAATTTATTTTTCCAGATCTGCAGGATTCCTGCTGAACTACTGTAGTACCGTAAAGTCATTTGTTAGGTGGCGAGTTTGATAGGGTGTGAGTTTGCAGAGGGCAACTGTGTATAGTCAGGGGGAGAGTTTGTATTAGGGGTGAGTTTGTTAACAGGGGGGAGGCAACATTGCTAGGGGGCGAGTTGACTGGTTCCCTTACAAAACAGCATACGGTACCATTACAGTAATGCTAGTTACGTAGACTAACTAGGCTCAGTAGTGCTATTTAACCTAGATACTAGCCTAGCCTAAATATTAAGAAGTAAAGGAAACAAATATATTTACGTGACCATAACAAATCAGTAAACGATATATCTATGTGAAAATAAATAACGCATGTGCAGTCATACTTCAATAAACTTACATCGTTCACTCGATCGAAATTAGCGTCGGCCCAAGCCGCGGAGCCCAAGCTTCCAAAGCTTACAACGGCACTGATTTCATTATGATTTTGTTTTTATTAAACATAATTTAATTGCCTACAATAGTATGTAGCAATCATTAAAATAAATTAAATCATTGTGTTAGCATTTCAAATAAAAGTGATATTATCAGCTGGAAATATTTGTGTTCTGGTCATTTTAATCACGTCATATGTTGAATGAACACACTTTAAAAAGTACAATACTAGGCCTACACTAAAACATGAAGGTTCCCTGCTAAAACTAGCACTCAATTACCTCAGAATCAAACTGATATTCTTCTAGACTTAAGCCTGTATTAGAAAGTATAATACATACTCCAAGTATTGAAATACACGCCATCGTGTTGGGATTCAATATTTCGACATTAATTATGTCATCATTCCTGATGATGACATAATTAATGTCGAAATATTGAATCCCAACACGATGGCGTGTATTTCAATACTAAGCCTGTATTGTTGTACGATAGTCAATCATCACAAATTAAATAACATTTTAATGTTTTCATTCAAATTCATTAAAGTATGACCGTGCATGCGTTATATATTTCACTTAGCTTAGATATATTGTTTCCTGATTTGTTTATGGCGACGTAAAATCCACTTCCAAAAATAAAATCCAGCGTAAACTAAGGCCTGGTCGGCAAACAAAAATTTCCCTAACCTAGGCTGGGAGCCCGAGGTGAGTCCCGTACCATACTAGGAGTCTAGGCCATCTATTCATTCTTAGACCTAGGCTAGGCCAGCCCTTTCGGCACTAGGCTGCGCCTCTAAGCTAGCCTAGGCCTAACAATATCCTAGGGTGCTGGCCTCTGACTTTTTCTTGGTTGCAGGACCTGCTACTCTACTACTGCTAGCCTGTAGGACTAGGCCCCCCTAGGCTAGGCCAATATGATGAAGGACGAGGCAACACCTGTCTTTAAAACTATGAACATCATTCATTTCCTACAAAATGAAATATTGTACTGTACTTTCATACCAAGTGGAATCGTTCTCCACGGCTCACTCATGGGCGCTGCCATTTTGACGTCAAAACAAACAGCGCCACCAACCTTGCTAAACATTCCACAAAAGAGCGGAGCCAGTCTGGATGTTCTTTCTTTTATTTGATAAATATCTATTTCGGACAATATTTACAACTCGACATAACTTGGCATAGTGCATTTTTGTGTATATTCCCTGCATATTTGGAGACCATCTTACCAGCATGGTATAGTTGCATAAAATTTGCAAACAGACTTTTGTTCTTGTTGATCCCTTTGCTCAGCAGGTCGCAGGTCCCTGGTTAAAGTTGTAATCCAGGGGCGTTTTGTTTGAAGTTGGAAAATCCCACACGCCACACGCTGTTCTCTGCCATCCCACAGCAGTACAGAAAGATCGAATTGGGCCTAGCCAATGGAGGCTTTAGTACCGTTGTCCAGTGCCATTTCTTAACTATTACAACAAGGGCCGAGGCTACGAAGACAGGCATAAACGAGAGGCAGGTAATTATTTCAACTCTCCTGTTTTTCATGGTCTGGGAAAGTGGCGGTCGGTCAGAAACTTTTGCTGGAAGTGGAATTGACCAATAGCAATACCGACCTGGCATTAATATTGGCATTGTTAACTGGCTAATCAAAAGCAGAGGCGGATAAAGAGTGGGGTTCAAAATGTTTCCAAATAAACCCAAAATGAAACGGGTTAGGGGTCAGGGGTCCTCCCCTGGAAAATTTTGATTCCTAAATCATAAATGGCCGGAAATGAGCTTTCCCCACTTCTGAGGAGTCGTTAATTGACCTTTATGTTCTTCAAAATTCAAGGTTTTCTCCTCTTGAAAAAGGTCAGATAATTTAATTATATCTCATTCTTTAAGCCTATAGGCCTATACAGAGAAAAATAAATCAAAAACATAAGGAATATATTATTATATTCCAACAATACGGAGTAGTTGGATGCGTAATATTTCTTCCATCGGTCGATGAAACGAAAGGCCTGAAGAACGCTTTTGTATATAATTTATTATACGACGTCAAATAAAAACCAGTGTGTATGATTTTATTTATTGAATGCTAGTTGGGTTGGGCTTGGTTCACATGAGAGCCCTAGTATCCAGATCAGGAGCTAACTGTTAGCGCTAACCGATCGGGCGTTCTCACGACTAGTCTTTGAAGAACATTTTGGTGGAAAAACTTTTTGAATACGATGCCCCGTTATGGAATTATGATTTTTTAAACATTTCTGTTGGTTATGCACCGCTGATTTGCAATGTTTGTCATCACTTCAAGGTGTCTACCGATTCGTGAAAAAGGCATATTCAGGAAGCATGGGTGGCGGAGGGGTGGGGGGTGTAAAAGACCCCCCCGTCGGGGGAAAAAACCACAGTTCAGCTGGGAAATGGAAAAAAGTATTTCTCTATATTAGTAGGTAGAATCAATTACCTGTACATAAGGATTTTGAGCAATGACCACACCCACTTTTTTTGTGAGGGTTTTCCCTATGAATCCACCACTGATCTGGTAATGAGCTTTCAACATTAAATTTATTTTGCTGCACATTTTGATAAACATTGGCAATGACTTCCGTGCTCAAGACGATTGATAATAAAGCAGTAAAAACCCAGTGGGGGTCGGGTGGGGGGGGGCCGAAGCCCCATGTAACCTTGCACAATCTTGGCATTTTCACTACTAATTTTATTGATCTCGGACACTAAATTAAGTCAAATGTATATGTACTGTATGTAAACTTAATAAAACCAAAAAGTTATGCTCATTTAAATTTGATCAAGTACAGACTGTAAACTAAAGATAAATGATGCTTTGTACCCGGCAGTTGCTTAGTGTAAAAGACTCTGGTCTTTTTGAGGATGGATAATCGTATTCAGTCGCAGGGCCATAAATTAACATATTTTCAGGGGGCTACGTTCCCTGGACTACTTTTGAAAGCGACTTTTTTAGCCACGCCCGATCACGCCACTTTTTTCTCGTTGGGGACATCCTTGGACACCTGTTGAGGAAATCCTGGGGCCGTTACTGCTTTTATTCATTAGCACATGTGGAAAACAGGTAAATAAACAAGCCCTGCGTGGTGCATTACTGGGTAATGAAAGCATACCGATGGCAGTGCGCGTAAAGCACGTCGTTTGTTTACTATTACAACGAGTGTAATGGGCTTGCACTATCTATAACCTTACAATTTGCTACCCTAAACACTACAGACGCAACGAATGGCAAATTATGTATTTGTTGCATATGACTGTATATGCCATTGCAAATTATCATTTATTATTTCATTTATTCATTTATTAGTGTAAAATCTTGATCCATGAGTAACCTTGAAATCAGTGAGTGTTTGTTCATCCGTAGTAACACGGACAAATGATAAATTATCCGTGAGTCTCATGGTCCATCAACTACGTGTATGGCATGTGATGGTTCAATCTGTAAAGTAGATAGGCCATGGTGCAGGTCATGCATCTCATGATGCTGGTGATATAGATTGTTATTTTGATGAAAAGTTGTCAGTAAAGGTATCAAAAAAACTTAACAAGAACAGATTCAAGAGGCATGGGCGTAGATTTTTTCACCATTAACAAATAAATCAGATTTTTCGTGCTTGTCATGGTCTCAGATATGAGTGATTTTAGGAATAGTCTTGCATTTTCGATTTTGTAAATTTAGGCCTGTAGTAGGCCCTACCTAGGCCTTGTACTGTATTTAAATTCAGAAAGTTAGTAGGGCCTGGTCATAAATCAAAAAAATGGTTGATTGCTGATTCCACCCCTCCCCCATGTAAGCGTCTATTTTCCATTCACCTCAACCTCCATCACTCTATCACTGTTTTTTTATTTATTTAAACTTTTTTATTTATTTCTCTTCTGCTCTATGCATATGTCAGGGGCATGAGGTTGAGAAATGATGTTTGGAGGAAGATGAGAAGAGAAAATGAGAGGCATCAGATGGAATTAGTGGGGCATTTATTGTAGGGCCTACATTGTAGCCTTTTTCTTAATATATGAAAAATCCTTTAAAACATGGCATTCTAATTCCAATTAGCAATATTATGTTTGTGGCAAAGGTTTGTCATTAATACTGTAGATACTTATTTTTTTTTTTTTATATTTTATTATCAGACCTACAATTTGACACACCCCCTACTGTGGTCCGCTGTCAATCCTCTCAAGTCGGCTGGGCCTAACATCATAGGCATCATGTGGCAAGCCCATCAATTAGGCGAGTTTGCAAGCAGGCCAGACCGCTTCCTGCCCGCTGGCCAGAATTTGACTCACACACACTACTCTGGCCTGCTGATCCAATCGAGTCGGTTTGTTTGGCCTAGCCAAACAAGACTCGAGTTGGCTCTGTCTGCTGCTTCCAGAAATATGTGAAACATTTTAAAATCTGCATCTTCCGATTAGCACCAAATTTGAGGAGGACCGTGATATATGTAACATTGTCTATATGAAAAATTTGAAGTAATTGTCCAGTTTTTGAGTGATGCGCCAGGAAAGACATACAAACAGAACACATTATTGCAAAACCCTTCACCTCTCCTTCCTCTCCTTCAGAGAGGCGACGGTAATAAATAAGATGTCTTTAACTCTTATATTAATGATGTTAAAGAAATGCTCAAGATACTTGAAAATAAACAGTGAAAAAAGATTTGGAAAAAAGTAGACATTTTTCAAAATTATTAAATTATTGAAATGAATAAAGTTTCAAACCAATACATTGGCATCATTCAGAAACTGTTAATTTGGAAAATTTATTTTTGCTTAGGTCTTCGATGAATAAAGAACAGTTAATGATTAATAAATATTAGTTTTTAAACAAACCCGAAGGGCCTATATACAATAATATAGTAGTATTAGAAAGTGTTTAGTCTGTATGTCAACTAAAAAAATAATATCAAGTGTGTAAAAGTTTCAGGATGATTTGTGTCTTCCCCACCCCCATGCACACATATTCCATTACTTTGGCAAAGTCAAGAATAACAAGAATGCTGGAGAAAGTGAACATCTATTGGTTTGATCAGAAAACATTGATTGGTCTGTTAGTTTGACCTTCTGTTGACCTTTTTGCTGCCAAACAAGTCATGCATTTAGTAGCACTAAGTACCTTTGCGTACGTCCTTACAAAACATAAACCTTCTTTTTCAGGTTGAACGATGGCAGCCAAAGAAGAAAATATACGAAAGAAAAATTATCACCTCGAAAATCTAAAGTGTTCATCATGTTCTCATACATTGACTTTTCCAAAGACATTGTCTTGTGGTCATACACTATGCTCCAGATGTATTCCTGATTCCTTTGAAGATAATGATGGTGTTGTGGTATGCAAAGTTTGTGATGAACCAACAGAGAGACAGAACCTTAATTGTGAACAATACATAACTAGGCTATTAGAGGTAGTAAGAAAGGTTGGGAAAGCTGCCAGCGCACAATGTTACACCTGTGAGGGCCAGGTTGCTGCTGCATTTTCATGTCAAGAATGTGAACAGTTTTACTGTGAAGAGTGCTTGCATGTTCATAACAGAATACCTATATCTAATAACCATAGTTCATCCTCTTTAGATGATTTTTTCTCTGAAGATCAGTTTGATGCCATGAAGTTCCAAATTCGGAGGTGTCCAACACATGATCACCCACTCGAGTTTTATTGTATGGCATGCGATGTTTCAATTTGTAAGTCATGCAATGATCACAAATGTCATGATGTTAATGATATCGATCGTTCTTTTGATGAAAAGTTGTTAGTATTTGAAGGTATCAAAGAAACTTCACAAGAACAGATTCAAGAATTAGAAGGAGCTTGTGAATGCATTCATGATGTCAAAGCAGATTTACAGTTGAATAAAGAAAGTAGTCTAGAAGAAATCTCTGATTATGGCAAGTCCATTGAAAGAGCTGTAAAAGATAGGATGCAAAGCCACAGAAATGAGGTGCATACAAAATATCGTGAAAAGATGAAGTTCATTGCAATGCAAAAGAACGATATTTTAATGATGAAGGAAAATCTTTGTAAAACAAGTCATATTATGATGGAGTTGATAGGATTCAAAAATCCAGCTTTGGTAATGTCTACCGGTAGGCGAATCATGCAGACATTGAGTACACAAAATACTATCAGTGAAATAGATCTTGAACCAGTTATAAACTATCATATGACTATTTCAGATGCAATCAAAGATCTTATTGACAGAATTCAAGTCATTCCTGGCATATATCTGAATGGGTCTGTTGCACAGTATTGTAGACTCAACCCCACTACTGATGTCATTACGTGTGGCCACATTGCAAGATTTCATTTGCTGACAAACAATATCGATGGTAATCCCGTAATGATAGGAGGTGCGGATGTCAGAGCAATTTTTAGGCACCATACAGGAGAACCTGAAATAGAAGCAAATGTTTTTGATAAGCACGATGGCTCATATGAGATTACAGCTCTTTGTCACAGTGCTGGTAAATACTCAGTTGATGCATACGTATTTGATCGACCAATCCCTGACAGTCTTCAATTTACAGCTGTACAGTGGGTAATTTCTGAACAAGTCTATTCCATCCATAAGGGTCAAAAACTCCAAGTGCAACTCCAAGCTATGGACGATGTTGGCAACATTATTGATAACACACTGGAGGATATATCTGCAGATATAATCTCACCAACTGATGAAATTAAAAAGCTTGATGTCATCTATGATGCTGGCATATGTAAGGTGGAGCTGACCACACTGCTCAATGCAAAGGGTAACTGGAAAATTAATTTTTACGATCCTAATGAAGTTACTAAAGTTGATGTCCATGTGTTTGAATGGAATGTTGATGTTGTTAATGTCATCAAAAAGCAACATCAACAATTTGAGATAAACTTGATAGCATCAAGTGGGACAGCAGATATAAAGCCAACAAAAGAACCAAAGATGTTAGTTTCATTGGTAGATCCTGAAGGTACTTCCAAATCAGTTCGTGCAGTGATGATTGATGAAAGAATTTTATATCGTGTCACATTAGAATGTGATAGATTGGGCATGTGGTTAATAAATGCCACTGTATTTGACTGTCCTCTTCAACAAGTCAATATTAACGTAATTGAGTGGATTGTTGATGCTGACATGTCCCATTTGGCATGTGGAGATCATTTTGTGTTCAAACTCTGGGCATGTGATGTACATGAAAATGTAGTAGAAAATAGTAACGCTATTGTCAAATCACAAGCTAGAAGTCCTTTGGGTGAAGTTGTTGACCTCTCAGTGGAACTTATGGATAATGGTGTCTACATTATCGAAGGTAATCTAGATATTGTAGGTCAGTGGTCTTTGGAAGTTAATGTTGATGATGAGGATTTGATACCAATTGAGACTGTGGTATTTCAGTGGAATTTAGATGCAGATGTTGTTGTCCTTTCAGTTGGTGAGATATTCCATGCAAAATTGATTGCAGTCGACTCTAATCAACAGACTGTGAGTGAAGCCAGAGTAAATATAGATGCATTTCTGGACAGTGTTACAGGGCGGCATGCATTTGATGTCCTGGACAATGCAGATGGCTCATATACAATTACTGGACAGTGTTTTGAGGTTGGAGTCTGGAAGCTACAGATCCTTCTCAATGAAGATTTGTATACTATGCTTGACCTCCAGGTCGTTGATTGGACTGTTGATGCTGATAGCACGACCATGTCTGTTGGTCAGACATTTAGCATTACGTTAAGTTCAGTAGATGAAAATGGGGAAAGAGTGACCAATGGCCGTGGTGACATAACAACGTACCTGCGAAATCCAAACCAGAAGTATAGAAAGACAGATATTACCAATTTAGACAATGGATCATATGAAATTAGCGGAATGTGCAACATCAGTGGTATGTGGGTTCTTGGAATTCGTGTTTATGGTGAACCACCATCTGACTTTGAGGTATCAATTGAGGTTGTCAAAGAAGGATATGTGATGTCAGTAGATACTCGCAAATTATGGCTGGACAAGATGTCAGGTGATATTGCATGTTTGGTATGGTACACAGATAACATTCTATTGGTCAGCAACAACACAAATGAAATAATCATGATTACTAAGATTGGGGATTTTGTATCAAGACTATGTCTAGATGGTAACCGAAAAATAGGCTGCATATGTCCTTGTTACGATGGGAGGATAGTTCTGCTAGACCAGGGCAAAAAAGAAGTACTTGTCCTTCCTAGATTTGGTGAAGATATTTCCTGCACATTTAGCAATGACATGCTAAAATCGCCTTTCAGTGCCACTGTTGACAAAAATTACATTTTTGTTGTTGATAATTCCAAACACTGTGTGATGAAGTTTAGTTTTTCTGGGCAACTGATCAAGAGCATAGGTCTAGAGAAAAACAGATATGGGCAGTTGAAGCGGCCATGGTTTGCTGTAACCAGTACTGATGGCAACCTGTTAGTCTCAGACAATGGCAACAATTGCATCCAGATGTACAATATTGATGGTGTGTTTGTCAAGACCCTGGTGGGATCCGGTAGGAATGATGGATCGATCGTTTTGCCTCGTGGCTTGTCGGTTGGCCATAATGGGAATGTATTTGTTGCTAGTGATCATAAGTTGCAACTGTTTGATGGAGATGGCAACTTCATCAGCAGTATCCTAGAAAACCCAACTGTGAATCCACATGGAATTGCAGTGGTATCGCGTGTACCGAGACAGATTGCGATTACACAATCAGACAGTAGCAGTTTTGAATTGTATAACTATTAAATAGCTTGTGCCCTTTAGTGTTCCTCCTGCACCAGCTGATAATCCTCCACCTGTGACTGGCTCCTGTAGTGCAGTGCAAATCCCAATATTTGGGATGTATTTTACACATAAGTGTAGCAATACTGTGCAAAGACTATACGTACAGTATGTATATAAAGCTCTATGTTCACACTAGCAAATTTTATGTGACACATTTGTGTGATGTGTCCATATATGGGAATGATGATGTCATATTACACCCAGTTATGGGCTTATCACATTTTCTAGTTGCATAAAATGTGATAGTGTTAGCAGAGGTTTAGTTGACATTTTAATAATACCCTAATTATCATAGTTTTTGTAAATTATTTTAGTTTTTGAAATGCTTGTGATAGAGCCACATGCTCTGAGTTAGCCTTCACATGAAGCCTCCTATTGGTCTATTTCATTTGTTTGTTTTTATTATTATTTTTTTTTTTGTAGAGTTTTTGTAGTTGATTAGAAATTTGATAGTATGGTATCCACACACAATTTAGCAACTAGCTGATTAATTGATCTGAAATCTGGTAATATACAGGAATTATGATAGACCTATCACTTGATTTTTCCATCATTTTGTACATGATAGTGCTTAACTATGAAATGTTTTATGATTTATCAGTGAATGTGCAAAAGTTAAATACAACTAGGTACACGCACAATTTAGCAGCAAGCACAGAAACGAATTTGAGACCATTTTTTATAAATTGTTAAGGCAGTGAGTAAGGGTGTACTGTATTTATTTTTTTTTTAAATTGTTTGTATTGTTCTTGGGGGTGTATTGTTGCATACCCCCTCCACCCCACATACAAGTCAGAGGCTCCCCAGACACCCTCCTACCAGAAATTTGCTGAGCAAAAAAAATTACATACTGTACTAAAAAGTTACCAGCTTACTCTCCCTCTCTTAATTCAAGTCCCTCTCTAAACTCTGCACCCCTCCCATCAGCACCTCCATGTCAATGCTGTACTTCTAAATACAGGACGTTTAGTAAGTCTCTTGTAAATAATGTTTAAAGAAGAATTGAAGACTTTTTTTTTGTCAAATTTGGATTGAATTTCAAAGTATTTGTTTTTTGGAAAATAAAAGTTACAAGGAATAACGAAATGAGAATTCTTCAATCATTGATTAACAAATGTACAGACATATAACTTGTTTATACAGTATAGCAATAACTAAACAATAGCAGCTTAGTTATAATGCAAGAAAAACTTGGCTCTAGAAGTCGGTGGAGTATGAATAATAATTTTTTTTTTAGTCACCTTTATTTATCATTCATTAATAAAACTATAAACAGGATACAATATTGAATCACAAGACAGGAACAACACAAACAAAAACACATCAAGGAACAATTTGAAAGCAATTGACAATTAGCCAGTAAAACACCTGTTCGTGCTATGGTACCATGAATGTTTCAATATGCCAGTTACGTCTTTTAAATGTGTGCCATTCTCGATTCAGTTTCGCACCAAACATTTTTTCCTGCCATGCCGCTTTCAATATGTGGCACAACAAATACCAAACATGCTTTGATTCTCTATGTCTGATTGCGTGTCATCAGACACAATTTCTGTATTTCCCCTTTGTGGTAGCATTAATTTTAGCATTTCATAATTTGTAATAAGCGTGGAAAGCCTTCGAAATAGTTATCAAGTGCACTCCATACTGTATCTTTAACATTTTGAGGAATAAACACACACTTTTTATTTCACTAATATTAACGGTTAGTATAGGATACCATACTAGCGTTATTACACGTGACACTGCCAATATTACCGTATTTATTCGAATCAACTCCCGGGGGAGTTTTATTTTTGTCGAGAAGGGTTTGTGAGGGGGAGTTAATAGGTGTATTCAAGAGAGGCGTTTATTATTATTTGTTATGTTAAAAAAAGATACCGGTACTTACCTATACCTAAATTAACTTCTCTCAATTACACTGTAAATGTGGAACACATATTTACCTACAAAATGTTTATTGCATGATCATAAAGACACACTGATTCCAAACCGGTTAGAAAATGTAAATTTGCTAAATTAGAACGTTAATGGGACGTTTTGAGAATGATGCTGCTTCTATTAGTCTTGTTTACGACAGAGGGACTTGAGCTCTTTCCCCTTGCCCCCTCCCCGCTGGCGCCGGCACTGGATGCACAGCGAAAGATTGAAACCCCGACCTCGAGAGGTTGGAAAACCAAACCGTTTCCGCTGCGTCAAAACTACTCAGCGTTTATTCGAGAGGCGAAATGGCACGTTTATTTAAAACTGAGCCGTCTATTCGAGTATATACGGTAGGTAAAACAAAGCACAGTATCATTGCAGCAATAGCAGCGTTTCCCGTTTATTTTCTGTTGACAGGCTATAATATACCAACAACAGTTGCTCAACTGACACCAAGAACATGTGAGTATAGGCGTATTTATGGTCTTAAAAAAGCAAAAGTTATTTTGTTGAATATATATATATATATATATATATTCAACATAATGTATAGAGAAATTGTGTACTCCTTATATGGATAAAAAACATTTAATTAAAGTCTAATCTAAATCATCCTAACAATGAGCCACAGACGATGACCGTCATAGGCCTACTTGAAAAAGATATGAATAAAGAATAAATGAACAATAAAAGAATACGCCTAATATTAACCTAATGACAATAGACTTAAATAATAATATTGATAATAATATTGATATTGGTAATGTAAATGATGAAGAAGATAAACTAATGACCGAAAACATTAGTCCGTGGGAAATGCCAAGGTCAACCACTAGTCCTGCTGATGACCTCCATACTGCTTCCTACGCCGTTCTTGACTTCTGGTATCGTAGTAAGAACATTAATGATAGATGAACTTTTAAGTCTTAAAACTCCTCACCTGATCTTGATGATGTTGGTGTCCGACCACATCAATAAAACCGACCACATCACTAAAACCGAGTTTGCCGAATGCCTTTTACCGACCTAGAAATATGAAAACCCAGTTCGTGGGTAGAAGTTCGAAGAGTTGCAGCCGCATTGACCTTGAAGTTACATGAAGCGGAAAATGCAAATCTGAATTCTTATTAATTTGTTTATTTTGGGAATTTCCCAGATTATAGGACTATTCGCGGTTTGGTAATTGGAGGGTGTTTTGACTCATACGCCGTTAAAGAACAGCTAGGGATTCTATCAAACCAACAGTGACAGGACAAATAATTTCGGTTGCATTCAAATCAAAAGTAAGGCCTGAAATAATAATCAAGCATATACAGTAAATTATTTATAGTTATTTATTTTAATATAATAATATGGTGGTAGGCCCCAACTGGTAGGCCTCTATCATAGACGACATGACGCATGTGCAAAGCTTCAAATTGACGTAATCACGTCGTAGCCCACATAGTCAACGTGCAACTCCCTAATTTTACAGGATTGGATGTCGGTGTGACAGTGCTTGGCCCGAATATTGGTAAAGCATGCTTAAATAAAAACGGTCGAATAGTACAGTGGTGGCGCCAGGATTTTCCCGACGATATGGGAGGTGATGTTCACAAAAGAGATTGTTCCTGCCCAGAGCGATGAAAATAAAATAGGCATGTTTAGCTGTTGTAACCTTACTATAAAACAAAAATGATGTTTTTTGTGCGAAAGCAAAGCATAATATGATCAAACCATGATTCACGACAGTGGCGTAACGTACGTGTACTCATGGGGTGGGAGTTACCAATATCCAATACTGTAATACAAATACTTGTCTGGTGTGCTTTCATACCGGAAATTCCCCAATTCCCCAGTTTATAAAGGACCACGGGCCCCTCCTAGTTCCTATGCCTACCCCTGCTGATTATGGTTTAGTACGTGACACACAGACAGTGGCGTCGAGATGGGGGGTCGGGGGTCGCTTTCCCAAATCTCCATAGCGCCCGAGCCCAAGCCAAGATGAGAACTTTGTTGTACGTCAGAACAAACTACATTATGGTTTTATGGGCGTCTTTCTCAGTCTTTCTGTATTTTTATTACTAGATGAATAATCTCCCAGTTGAATAGTCCTGGGGGACTATTCTTCTAGTAATAGTCCCCCAGGGCAATAGTCCACCCATTGCTCTCCCATTCCAAACCAGATGCAAAGTGGTATGTATATACGTGTATTATATATTATTATCGTTTATTCATCAGATTATTCTGATACATCTACATTGCAAAAAAATAATCACATAGAATCATATTCACGTATGTGGGTTTGGACAAATAGGGTCTTAGGAGGAGACTTAATTTGGGGAGCGGCCGAGTGGGGTCCCAAGTGAAGGGGGGGGGGGCATGTGAGGTGTTGCCCCGGGGCCCTTACTGGCTCTCGATGCCACTGCACACAGAAATAGAACTGATGATAACAATAAATGCAGTTTCTTCAACCCTCATTCAAAATGTCGTTTTATAAGTCAATTGGGAGTGAAGATAATGCTGACATGCAAAAAAGGTCCCCAACTTTCTCGCCCCCGGGTCTCATGACTCGTCGTTCTGACACTGATTAATGGGATCTGCCATTTTGTGGTAGCTGGGTCAATCATGATATTTGCTTGAGATACTGTCTAGACGTTGGGGTTTTCAATGAGAAAAACGATTACAGCCCATTAAAATGATGATGATTGGTTTTGTCACTGTATAAGTGAAGTTATTTAAAAATTGAAAAATACTATACTATACTTTAATAGGAATGTATCTTGCTTAAGCTATCCCGTCTTAATTTATAATTCCCCTTTCCAAAGGCTAGTGGGGGAGGGGGAGGGGGCCAGTTACCCGGCGGGGAAAGTTCCCCTCGGTCGGGAAGAAAAAACAATTCGTCGGGAAAAGAAAACAGATGTATGTATTTTGTACATAGGCTATTAGTAGACTCTAAAATCGATTACAGGAAATAAACATTTGAAACCTATAAATTGTCATAGTTTTCGGGGACCTCGCCCCCGGAACACTTCAAAGAATTTTAAGCGACGCCGCCCGACCACGCCCACTATTCTCTTGTCGGGGACATCCTGGCGCCACCCCTGTTTTCCCTCAAAATATTTTGTATCGTCGTTATTGTTTTGTATTGTAAATGTTGGTTGAATAAATAAATAAAATGAACACAGACATACAGTCGAGTGGAGGGGTCAATCATGATATTTGCTTGAGATACTGTCTAGACGTTGGGGTTTTCAATGAGAAAAACGATTACAGCCCATTAAAATGATGATGATTGGTTTTGTCACTGTATAAGTGAAGTTATTTAAAAATTGAAAAATACTATACTATACTTTAATAGGAATGTATCTTGCTTAAGCTATCCCGTCTTAATTTATAATTCCCCTTTCCAAAGGCTAGTGGGGGAGGGGGAGGGGGCCAGTTACCCGGCGGGGAAAGTTCCCCTCGGTCGGGAAGAAAAAACAATTCGTCGGGAAAAGAAAACAGATGTATGTATTTTGTACATAGGCTATTAGTAGACTCTAAAATCGATTACAGGAAATAAACATTTGAAACCTATAAATTGTCATAGTTTTCGGGGACCTCGCCCCCGGAACACTTCAAAGAATTTTAAGCGACGCCGCCCGACCCCGCCCACTATTCTCTTGTCGGGGACATCCTGGCGCCACCCCTGTTTTCCCTCAAAATATTTTGTATCGTCGTTATTGTTTTGTATTGCAAATGTTGGTTGAATAAATAAATAAAATGAACCCAGACATGCAGTGGAGTGGAGGTCATTTGTCAGGCTAGGCCTACGTGGAAACATTACAATGTTCCGTTGTTGCAAATTGAATTTATGTCGTTTCCTGCTAGGCCTTTTACATTGACCTTGCAAGAGCATTCGGTTAGCAGAACAAAAAAACGTGGGAAAGTGTTATGATTTTTATTTATTGATCAAGAACGGGTGGTGGGGTGGGGGATAGGTGATAAACAGGCCCGTATCCAGGGGGTGGGGTGGTTTATGGTTCGGGAGAATCCCCTTTTCTAGCAACCCCCCCCCCCCAACCTCTTTAAATCGACCCAACTAATGCACTACAGACCCACAGAGACACAGACGTTTTCAAACATATCTGCTTTTATAGCATTATTTTTACCCATAACGCACAAAAATCCTCTTGCTTTGG